TGCTTCCTTCACAGCTTCAGTTAGGGCAATATACTCCGCTTCAGTGGTTGATAGGGCAACGACCTTCTGAAGTGTTTCTTTCCAACTGATTGTTGTCCCAAACATAGTGAACACATATCCAGAGATAGATTTTCTGGAATCCATACAACCTGCATAATCAGAGTCGACATATCCATCGATTGCTGCTTTACTATCTTCACCTAAGGCTCCACCATAAATTAGGACTCTATTTAGAGACCCATTTATGTACCTTAAAATCCACTTCAATGCTTGCCAGTGAGCCTTTCCAGGATTCGCCATGTACCTGCTTACAAGACTTACTGCATATGCTATGTCGGGTCTAGTACAGACCATAGCATACATCAAAGACCAATTTGTCTTCTTTTGATTCCTCATAACTTCCTTATAGTCTCTAGGTTCTTCGTCTAGAACCTCACTTGCAGAGATTAAGGCATAAGCTATAAGATCTGCATACCCAAGTCTCTGAGGTGGCTTGATGACTCTCCTCGACCTGTCTCTTGCTAGCAGGTAGTCATTATCAGTCTCCTCATCTTCGACAACATCTTCTGTGTCTTCTTCGACTTCATCTGGGGTAAGCAATTCAGCATCAACATGCTCCACCTCAACAGGAATCTCTCCCTGTTCCAGCTCTTTGTCAGCATCATCAGTTTTCTTGAAAGCCATCTCTGCTTCGTTGAAAACTACATCTCGACTGGTGATACACCTCCTGTGACCTGGCTCTAGGAACCATAGCCTATAAGCTTTGACTCCTTCAGGGTATCCCATGAACATGCACTTCAGAGCTCTAGGTTCGACCTTGTCTTGCCTAATATGAGCATAGGCCACACAACCAAATACTCTCAGTTTGTCGAGACTAGGTGGATGTCCTGACCAAACTTCTTCAGGTGTCTTCATTCCCAAGGCAGTCGAGGGACATCTATTTATCAGGTAAGCTGCTGTCGAAACAGCTTCCGCCCAAAACACCTTCTTCAATCCAGCACTAACCAACATGCATCTAACCCTTTCAAGGATTGTTCGATTGAATCTCTCAGCTAAGCCATTTTGTTGAGGAGTACCTGCTACAGTCTTATGCCTTGCAATCCCAGACCCAACACAGTAACTGTCGAAAGCTTCGTTGCAGAATTCAAGGCCATTGTCGGTTCTCAACCTCTTAACCTTTTTGCCAGTCTGAGTTTCGACTAGAATCTTCCAACTTTTGAAATTCTCAAAAGTTTCATCCTTCGTCTTCTGAATGAATACCCATAGTTTTCTGGAATAGTCATCAACAATGGATAGAAAATACCTTGCACCTGAGTGTGAAGGATTCCTTGCAGGCCCCCAAAGATCGGCATGAATGTAATCCAGAGATCCATGTGTTCTTTGCTTGCCTTTGTTAAACTTCGCCCTACAGGATTTACCAAATACACAAGATTCACAAAATTCCAACTTTTCGACTTTGTCACCTCCTAGCAGGTTCTGCTTCCCCAATTCGACCAGGCCTCTTTCGCTGACATGGCCCAATCTCATGTGCCATAATTCTGTCTTCGACATAGATTTCGTGGATGCAACATTTGTCGAACCACTTACAACCTCAGCCTCAAGGGTATACAAGCCTTGTTTCTTCACGCCTCTCAAGACTTCCTTCGACCCCTTCATGACTCTTAGGATACTTTTCTCTCCTTGAAAAACATATCCTTTTCTGTCGAATTCACCAAGAGAAATCAAATTTCTCTTCAAGTCAGGTACGTACCTGACTTTAGTCAATAACCTTATTGACTCATCATGGAGCTTGAATCTCACAGATCCAATACCTGCAATTTTGCAAGATTTGTTGTTTCCTAACAGCACAGATCCACCATCTTGATCACATAGCTCCTCGAACAATTCTCTGTTTGGAGTCATGTGCCAAGTGCAACCTGAATCCATAATCCACTCTTTCCTCGAGTCGCCACTTGAAACCACAAGAACATCAGATGAGTCGAAGTCATCTTGAACAATGGCTGCATTGCCATTACCTCCATGATCTTTCAGGCGTTCAGGGCACAACTTTCTTATGTGACCCTCCTTCTTACAGTGGTAACATCGAATACTAGATGTTTCGCCACTATAAGACTTCTGTTGACTTTTACCTTTCTTCTTGTCGAACTTACCATCCTTTCGCAAGAATTTTCCCTTAACGGCCAAACCTTCGCCCACCGTCGAAGGTTTATGCTCCTTTCGTTCGTTCAAGTCCTTAGAATACAAGGCTGATTGAACTTCTTCAAAGGTCAAGGACTCCCTTCCATACAAGAGAGTTTCTTTGAAGTGAGCATGTGTTCTGGGCAAAGCACACAGCAGCAACAGTGCTTGATCTTCATCATCGATCTTCACATCAATATTTTCAAGATCAAGAATCAGCTTGTTGAACATAGCCAACTGCTCAGCCAACACTTTGTCTTCACTCATCTTGAATGAATATAAAGCTTGCTTCAGGTATAGTCGATTCACCAGAGATTTGGTCATGTACAAACTTTCAAGTTTCACCCATAATCCCGATGCTGTAGTCTCCTTTGATACCTGTCGAAGAACCTTATCACCAAGGCTCAATAATATTGCACTGTGGGCTTTCTCGATCATGCCCGTCTTTTCTTTTGCCGTTAACGCAGCGTCCATGGCTGCCTCACCCTTCAACGCTTCCAAACAACCCTGCTGAACCAATAGGGCTTTCATCTTCAAGCGCCACAGACCAAAGTCGTTCACTCCGGTGAACTTTTCAATCTCATACTTTGTTGAAGACATCTTTTCCACGCTCACCGCACCAATTTGTTGTGAATCGGATACCTTTAAACAAAGTATAAACGGTTTCTTAATGATCAAGAAACTCACAAGGGTTAGGGTTAATAAAGAAGACAAGGTAAAACAACAAGGAACAACAAGGATTGGTTATTTAACTGCTATTCTTTCCTTTCTCTTAGAACAAGATTACAAGTATACAAGAATAACAAAATAACCTCTCTCCCTTGAAATTAGGATTTTATCTTCCTATTTTTCCTTATCTCAAAATTGAGAAACTAGCATCCTATTTATAATAAAATAGCACATGCTAACAACCTTAGCAATATTTACTCATGCTAACAACCTTAGCAATATTTACTCATGCTAACAACCTTAGCAATATTTACTCATGCTAACAACCTTAGCAATATTTACTCATGCTAACAACCTTAGCAATATTTACTCATGCATGTTAGAACAAACTTCGACTACAACACGCATTACTTGCGAACAGACTTCGACCACACTAGAGTTCGATCCAATGTCTCACAAATATTATTATTTACTCGAGCAAGCTGTTTATCTTATTGAGTTGTGATTTGCGACTACTAGTATGCCACCACTATTAAGTCATATAGTACATAGTTTCTTTTTCTAATTTCTAGGTGAAACATTAGTTGGGAATGACGAGGAGGTTGTTGTCCCATCAACAAACAATGAGTGCGAGCCTACAATGATGCCCACAACATGCCTTTGGACGACTCATCTTAAAGCCCTTAGACAATAAAAAACGAGGTAATGGTAAAATCGTTTAGTTTGATTCTCACAAACGACGTAAGTTATCTAGAATTGGCTTCAGTCGATAACTTGGAAGACAATGATGTAGCTAAAAACAATGATAATTTTTTAAAGTGGATTGATGTATCTTCAAACATTTTAACGATCAAATTAATAATTGATTGAAGATGTAAAATTTTATTAATTAGAAAACACTTTCATTAACCCAAGTTATAAGATTTTATGGATTCAAACAAAACTAATTATTTAACATATAATTATTCACAAATCTACATTAAACGACTGTCACGTGATCCTAATTGTTTCTCTAAACTGATTTGCGCGTGCCTCTATAACATATTCATAAGATAATTTGTAATGACCCACTTATTATAATGAGTTTATTATGTGTTTGATTATGTGTCGAAAATAATTAATGATGTAAAATTAATTTTAATTAAAAATAAATTAAATATAAAGTGATTTATGATAATTATTTTTTATAAAAATAAGTTGAATAATAAATTTCACGTAATTAAATATACTAAAATTAATTATAATCAGAATCATAAACCAAACTCAGATTTAATTCTCAAGTATATTTCATTGAACTGACTTATTTATTATTTTTGCTTAATGACACGTCTATGAAAAAAATCTAAACAACGGTGATGTAAAATCACAAAAATGGAGGGAGTAATTAATTTCAAAGAGTGACTTGACTTAAAAACCAATAGAATTTCATCAAGTGTGTACAAGAAAGTAAAAAGAGGGAAAAAAATGACTAAAGTTAAGTCGTAAAAGATAAAATTATTAACCAACCAGAAGAAAACGTGCAGATTTGTCTCAGTCTCAATGTTCAGCCAATCAGATACTGACACGCTTACATCTCAAAGACTAAAATGCTTCACGCTTTCACATATTTACTAATTATTATTTTATTACTTCACAATTTTTTGTCGAATATATAAAATTAAAACCGAACCAAATCTCGATCGCACTCTTCACACAAACCACTCTTCGTTTCGTTTCAAATTTCAACTCTAAATTTTATTTCCATCGATTTTCCCTCAAATTTTTCATTCAATTCTTCGTTTTCCTCTATACAATTCTTCCTCAATCCTCATGCCAGCTTGTAGTTAGGGTTTTTCTACTTTTCGCTTCAAAGTTATTCTCCTTCACTCTTTCGTTTTGTTTTCGTTCGATCTACTGATTCATCGGTTACTAACGGATTCGTTCTGTTGAATTTCTGAGTTTTTTCCGTGAGGTTTCGTTTTTCCCACGGTTTTCGAGCTCTTTGGTGCTCGAATTTGTTGGTTTTGGAGAAGGTGAAATTAGGGTTTGTAAAGAGGGGTTTTACGAATTAGCTATGATTTGTGTATTTTTGGGCGTGTTTGTGGACGGGGATTGAAGTTTTAGCTGAAATTGGGTTGATTTTGGAAATAGGGGATTTGTGAGGTGAAGTGAATATGTTTTACTCTCAGTTTATTTTGGCGAAGAAAGGTCCACTTGGGACGATATGGATAGCTGCACATTTAGAGAGGAAGCTCCGGAAGAATCAGGTGGCGGATACTGATATTGGCGTCTCTGTAGGTAAGTTCGTTAGTTTGTTTATCTATTGATTTTATTTTATTTTATTTTTAATGCGCAATGATTTCTGCGTTATGAATGAGGTTAAGGTAGTGCGTATTTATGATCTTATTTAGAATTTGAAAACCCTAGTTTTTACTGCTGTGTTATACTTTGTTGCTTCCTGATCCACTTGATTTGTAGGTCAAATTTGAACTCCTTGTGGTTTTATTGAATGTTTGGGTTGGTGGTACTAAACATGGTCTTGTATGTAAAGAACATGTTCTTGATGTTTGAACTTTTAAGTTTGGTTTCAAAACCATGTTTGAGTAGAAGTAGGAAAAATGTTTCTTGACTTGAATTAAGAGCTTTGAACCGGATTTTATTATGTACTCAATTTTAGTGGAAAAGTTTCTTAACATAAGTTAACTATCTTCAAACTTAGTGTTGGGTAAGATAAATTTTGTAAAATCAAGGTTATTCTAAATTAAGTCTAAAACAAATGGTCATGCCTGTCATATGTTTAGACTCGTGATAGTTGGTTACCACTTGCACATCATACAATTTTTAGGATTGCTCTATTATACAAATCAGTTGACCAATCCAATCTGCCCCATCCCAAATCAGAGGTACTTCCTAGATTAGCATTGTGCTTAGGGTAATAGCTTCTATGGAATTTGAAAAATGGTAAGGAGAAGGAATTAACATTTCGTTAGCGTGGTTTGTCTAGCTATGTAGTCCAAGTTGTTGAAGTATCTTTCAATGACTTGATGGGCAAGTTTTTTCAGTTTTTCCCTATGTCATTTGTTGGTAGATTTCCTCTTATATCCTTATGGAGTTGTGGTGCCTTACTAATGGTTAGACTTGTGGTCAGCATCCTTGTTTATTTGCAGATGAACTAAAGAGCTCATCTGTTTATTGTATGTTTTCTTTGTTGTACGTATGTTTAAAAGGACACATTATCTTCTTTTAAGGGGACAAATTAATTAAGGAAATGAGGTTTTGATCATGTATTTCATAGAAAAAAGAGATTCTTAAGTAGGTCTCAATGTTACAATATCTGTGTTCCACAGGGACCAAAAACTACATAGGTTTTGAGACAAGATTAGCTTCACTTTCTCAACCAGCCTAGCTGGAGGACTGTTTAAAATTTGTAATGATTTGAATGTCATTTACTGATCATCATGATATAGCTATGACTTTAGTTTTTGCAAGATGTTTGGAATATGGACAGGATTCTAATAATACGTTTTTCTTGCAAACCATTATTTTTAATTTCTAAGGAATTCTTTCCTAGCAACAAAGATTCTTTGGTAGTTAATATCTCTGTATCACATATGGACTTCTAAATTTTGCTCTTGGGTTTTATGGGTATTTTTAACATTACAGATCATAAATAATTTAATTTCTGTAAGGATAATGGATATTGAATATGTTATCCTTCTTTGTTCTTGTATTTGCTTTCTTTCCCTCTGTATTTAATTCCTAAATTGTATTTTATCTTTGTATAGAATGACACTGTTAATTCAAACAAATTTATATAACATTTGTTGATAATGGTATATTATTATGTGGAAGCGGGAAACTAATTTTCTGATGTAAACCCAGCTTGAGTGGTTTGAGGTCTGGTAGCTGGTTATTCACCTAAAATGAAGGATATTGCACCCTAACTCAATTGAAGTTTTAGATAATGGATTCTCTTAATCTAGGTTTGGATTATTTTTATTGTCCTTTTAGTAGAGAAATATACCATAGAAGGTAGAGTAAAATTGTTGAAAGGAATGACATGGAAATAAATGTTGTAAAATGAGATCTCAAAAGTGAATGAATGAACAGAAGGATAAACATTCTCAGCAGTTAAGCTTTCCAATCTACCTGTATGTCTTCTATGGACACCCCTAAAAGAGATCATGAGCTGTGCAGAAAGAGAGGTAAATAAAGAACATCATATTGCACAACAGATTTATTGGCGGAGAATTAAATAAACACAAATTTCCCTCAAGGAAAATGCCCCAATGAACAGTGTAATTGCTGATGGCCAATGGTCTCCCTCCGCAGTAGTATGAAACCCCTAAAGCTTATTTGAAGAAGTTATTTTAGATTAAGAGGGCTTTCCTAGCTGACAACAAACACTTAAACTAGTTTATTCCATATCTCTTTTATAAAGGTGGAAATGGAATGTAAAGGCAACGTCAATCTTATATTGGTCTATTCCAGATTGATCTAGTTGTAGGATAGTATAAAAAAATATGAGCAACTCTTTCTAAACTAAAGTCTACCGTTCAAATGAAAGACTTACCTCGATTTGGATAATTATTCTCAGTGAATTTACTCCATGCAAAATGCAAGCAGGCAATTATTTATGTTTCTGTATGCAGTGAAGATTTAAGGACTAGCTGTTAGCTAATGCTTACATTAAATATTTATTGACGCTGAAGTTTTGTTATAAGCCCTATGCAGTCTGGAGGAGATTAATTCCAATGTTGAGGGAAATTGATATTCCTTAGTACACTATACATGCATGTGATGCACTTGTTATTGTCTAATTTTATCATGTTTAATTGTTTAAGATTATTCATTATTCATGTAGCCACTTTTATGAATGAACAGATTCCATTCTTTTTCCTGAAGTACCAATTGCACTCCGTTTATCCAGTCATCTTCTGCTTGGTGTGGTAAGGATATATTCCAGAAAGGTGAATTACCTTTTTGATGATTGCAGTGAAGCCTTGCTTAAGGTAAAGCAAGCTTTCCGCTCCACGACAGTTGATTTGCCACCAGAAGAGTCCACTGCACCTTACCATTCCATCACTCTACCTGAGACTTTTGATCTTGATGATTTTGAACTACCAGATAATGACATTTTTCAAGGGTTAGTTCCATAGTACTTGATTACATGACCACCTGTAGCTCCAGCAGTTGTTGATTACGGCAGCAACATTTTTTACTTATTGAGCTGATATTTATCTAAATTATTTTATTTCATTTGAAAGATTGTGGGTAATTGGATATGCTCTTATTTACCAGCTTTTTTCCTGGGTATTTTCAAATGATTGACACAAACAGATTTTAGTCGCAGACCTTGTGTTTTACCAATTTGGTGTGTGTGTGTGTGTATTCTAAAAGGAGATTTTATGTAAGATGGTTCATATGCAAGAGTAATTGGTTTATTAACAGAAGATTATACATGTTGTGTGAACTTGCAGCGACTATGTTGATCGCCATGTCAGTACTAGGGAGCAGATTACACTGCAAGATACTTTGGACGACATGGCTTACAAAACATCACAGTTTGGATTGGATGGTTAGCATTCTACTTTACCTCTTTTTATTTTTGTACTGTTCATTTGATAGTGAACTTTGGATGTACAATAACGAGATCCATGCTTATAAGTAATGATTGATGTTAATCATATCTTGCAGAGCGCTTTGGAGATGGTGATGCTTCTCAAATTGGTTTAGACCTTGATGAGGTAAATAGTTGTTGGAGCACTGTCATGACTTATTTTAATTGACATGGTTGTGACTTGTGAAATCGAACATCTTGATGTGTATATTAATGGAGAACAATGTACTACGCATTTCTGATTATAATTTTGGATATTTGTAATGTGATTTGGTAATTTCAGGTTATGTTAATAGACAAAGATTCCACTTTGGAGCACAATGACTTCAGTGCTAATCCTCAAGTGTCTCATCAAGAAGATGAAAAGAAAGAGGAGGTGATTACAACTTCTGATAAAATGCTAGTAGAAAACAGTGGAAGCAAGGTTGATTTGATATTTTAAATAAACTTGATGTGTATATCTACAGAGTACTACATAGATACATTCTTCTGATATAACTTTTGGATATTTGCAATGTGATATGGTAAATTCAGGTTATGTTAATAGACCATGATGCCAATTTGGAACATGTTGACTTCGGTGCTAATCCTCAAGTTTCTCATCACGAAGATGAAAAGAAAGAGGATGTGATTGGAACTTCAAATAGAATGCAAGTAGAAGACAGTGGAACCAAAATTGATTCGGTATTTTAAAATATTTGCGTGCCTGTCATTATTTTGTTTTATTCCTTGTTTTGCTTTTCTATTTTGGAGAGTGGATTAGGTGAAAGCGATTCTGTTGGCTAGAGATTGAAATTAGTACTATTTTTAATCAATGTTTGCCTGTTTGAACAGAGTGATGGTTTTCCCACTTCTCCTGAATTTCATGAATATGCTCAAGGCCCATCTACTTCTCCTGAATTTCATGACAATGCTCAAGATCCATCCACTTCTCCTGAATTTCATGACTATGCTCAAGATCCATCCACATCTCCTAAATTTCATGAATATGCTCAAGGTCCATCTACTCCAGGACTGCAAGAGCCAAACTTATTTGGTACTCAGTCGGATCAGGTCATTAATGAAGCTGATTTTCATAATTCCGCAGATTTATCATCAATGTATTCAACACAAAATGAATCAGGTGCTCATCAAACTGAGAACAATGTAATTGGTTGCTCCTTGCAAAATAATGGGAAGCATGTTGGTGTGGATTTGCATCATGAGGCTAGTGACCGTGTTCTGACTGATGTGAATAACGAAATAGAGGAACAAGACCATTTCACACGTACAGTTGTGATGAAGGATCAAGGAAATTTGATACCTAATAATCATTGCTTGGCATCAGTACCCTTGATGGACTCCTCCAATGAAGACCACACAACCACTATGTTACCAGAATGTGCAGGTGGGTATGTTGATGCTTCTGGTATACATGAAAAGGTGGAAAGATCGCAAGATGGAGTTCAGATGAACACTGAATCAGTTATGGCCAATTTAAATGAAACTGTTAGTGTTGTTTCTGGAGGTGTGAACATCAATGATTCTGGTGTGTCTCCTAGTTGTTCTCATGTTACACCTGATCAAGAGGGCCTCTCATGTAAACTGTTGTCTACCATGGGTGGATCTCGTGGTTCTGAATTTGGTGGTCATTTGGCAGATGTTACCACATCGTTAAAGCACGGAGTTTCAAATAACAGTGAAGTTTCCAAGAATGAGCAGCAACCGAACATGGTTTATGAGGCTCAAGTATCCAATATTGTAAGTCTTCTAGAATCATCTGGTAGACCTGAAGTTGTTGATGTGGAAGCTCGTGCATCTCAGGAACTGAAGGAAGCAGGTATTTTAAACTTTGTATCTCATGAAGCTGAGCAGCGCACCCAGTCACACCTTCAGCCATGCACTTCCCGTGTAAACAATCCTTCTCTGTTATCTATTGAAGGTATTAAAACAGTTCATTTAGTATAATTTGATATTAATGTAGTTATTCATTTTTACCTATTTGCCTCCTTATTTTCAATTGGAGTGAAATGCATATATTTCAAGAATTCTGTTTCTTTATTGCATGTTTCCTATTGTTTGTGATTTTAGATTATTGACCGGCATTTCACCTTTATACTGTGTTGACTTCTACTTGTTGACCTGCAGACTTCCTATCATACAAATTTTTTTCCTATGAATCTAATTGATATTTTTTTTCTCTTTTATGTACGGACAATTAATTAATTATTAATTTATAATAACAATACCCTTCTTTCTTTTAACTAGTCACTTTTATCTATATAATTACTTATCTGCTTGATAGACATTTGAACATGTGAATTCCATTTTATTGCTAATAAGTTGATTGTTTTATTTTCGCAGGTGAAAAATGTCACGAAACTGATGTTTCAGATCCTGCTTTGGGTTATCAGGGTACCGTAGAGCCATCTGCTTGTGAAGGAAAGTTGGACTTGGGGCAATCAGGCATGCAATTTGGGAGTCAGATGATAAGTAATAAAATGGGAAGTGTAAACACATTTACTGCTTCTGACATACCAGAGCCTGAAAAAATGCTCTCCTTGGGGCAATCAGGCATGCAATTTGGGAATCAGATGATAAGTAATAAAATGGGAAGTGTAAACACATTTACTGCTTCTGACATACCTGTGCCTGAAAAAATGCCCTCCTTGGGGCAATCAGGCATGCAATTTGGGAGTCAGTTGATTAGTAATAAAATGGGAAGTGTAAACCCATTTACTGCTTCTGACATACCTGCGCCTGAAAAAACGCCCTCCTTGGGACAATCAGGCATGCAATTTGGGAATCAGATGATGAGTAATAAAATGGGAAGTGTAAACACATTTACTGCTTCTGACATACCTGCGCCTGAAAAAGTGCTCTCCTTGGGGCAATCCGGCATGCAATTTGGGAGTCAGATGACAAGTAATAAAATGGGAAGTGTGAACACATTTACTGCTTCTAACATACCTGGGCCTGAAAAAATGCTCTCCTTGGGGCAATCAGGCATGCAATTTGGGAGTCAGATGACAGGTAATAAAATGGGAAGTGTAGACACATTTACTGCTCCTAACGTACCTGAGCCTGAGAAAATGCTCTCCTTGGGGCAATCAGGCATGCAATTTGGGAGTCAGATGACAAGTAATAGAATGGGAAGTGTAAATACATTTACTGCTTCTAACATACCTGAGCCTGAGAAAATGCTCTCCTTGGGGCAATCAGGCATGCAATTTGGGAGTCAGATGACAAGTAATAGAATGGGAGGTGTAAACACATTTACACCTGAGCCTGAGAAAATGCTCTCCTTGGGGCAATCAGGCATGCAATTTGGGAGTCAGATGACAAGTAATAAAATGGGAAGTGTAAATACATTTACTGCTTCTAACATACCTGAGCCTGAGAAAATGCTCTCCTTGGGGCAATCAGGCATGCAATTTGGGAGTCAGATGACAAGTAATAGAATGGGAGGTGTAAACACATTTACTGTTTCTAACATGCCCGAGCCTGAGAAAATGCTCTCCTTGGCTTATCCACATTTTGGTGAGATGAATCATTTGCTGCTGGAGTCTACTCCTGGCAACCAGGGTATATCTGGAGGTCATACAGATGTTGCAGCAGTAACATCAGTATCTGGTAAAAAGCGCAGCTACACAGAAAGTACTCTTACAGTGCAGAGCACGGGTTTAGTTGAATCATATGGTGGGGCTCAGTCCAGAAGAACTACCGGGTCCATTCCGGATGATGATGATCTATTGTCTTCTATATTAGGTATATATTGATTCATTATGCATTGTGCTTTATATATATAGTTAGTTTTTCTTGAGAACATGATTATTGTTACCAAAAATAACTTGTTGCTGCTCCAGCTGGAAGAAAATCTTCAGCTTTAAAAGTTAAACCAAGTCCAGCAACCGCGGAAGTACCAACAGCAAAGCGGTTTCGTTCTACACCACGAACTAGTACCTTAAAGAGGAAGGTGCTTGTGGATAATACGATGGTCTTGCATGGGGAGTAAGTTTTTATAATGATCCATTTATTGATTTGTACATAGCTCTCCCTTTATTTTATGTTGACTTGATTGCACTAGAGTGAAATCAAGTCAATGTAAAATACCATTATTTTACGTGCCTGATTTATAGTCTTTCTCAGATCTATTATTCTTTTTACCATTTTGGCAATTTGATAGTTATAATATACCCATTATTTTGTCGTATATTAGTATGCTTCATTTATTATCAAGCTTATCAGTTTTTCCCTTGTATCGCATACCAATTCCTTTTTTGTGCACTAAAATATCAATGTTTTTTTTTCCTTTTTCTGTTTGAAGTATAATACGCCAACAATTGATAAGTACTGAAGATATTCGGCGCGTACGGAAAAAAGCTCCGTGCACAAGCGATGAGATTTTAATGATCCAGAGACAGTTTTTGGAGGATAAAATTTTCCATAAACCAATATTTACAGGTGAATTTTGTGCTAACATATTGTAGCTTTGATCATTTGGAGCCTGTCATCCCTTCCTAAACTAGTTAAAACTCCTGATATGCCACCAGCCACCTGATATAAAATCGCATTTGGTTGAGTTTTGATGAAAAAACATCTTTTATTTGGGTTCATTTATGAATTTTACCTTCAACATACCTGAGTTAATTTTTTCATTTCTTCCAGATTTGTCTGCTGATTTGACTATTCTGCAAAATGGGACATTTGATCTGAGTGGAATCAAGGTTTATAATTATGGCTTAGATAGTTTTTCCGTGGAAAAAGTAAACGATCAACAGTCCTATTCTAAATCAAATGCTGAAATTCATGTTGAGCTAGCACATAATGAGCCTATGGCTGTCCAACCCCAAGAAGAGGCTGAAGTCTCTTATTCTAAAACGAATGTTGGGATTCATGAGGTGGAATCACATAATGAGCCTATGGCTGTCCAACCTCAAGAAGAGGCTGAAGTGTCTTATTCTAAAACAAATGTTGGGATTCATGAGGTGGAATCACATAATGAGCCTATGGCTGTCCAACCCCAAGAAGAGGCTGAAGTGTCTTATTCTAAAACAAATGTTGGGATTCATGAGGTGGAATCACATAATGAGCCTATGGCTGTCCAACCCCAAGAAGAGGCTGAAGTGTCTTATTCTAAAACAAATATTGGGGTTCATGAGGTGGAATCACATAATGAGCCTATGGAAGTCCAACCCCAAGAAGAGGCTGAAGTGTCTTATTCTAAAACAAATGTTGGGGTTCATGAGGTGGAATCACATAATGAGCCTATGGAAGTCCAACCCCAAGAAGAGGCTGAAGTGTCTTATCCTAAAACAAATGTTGGGATTCATGAGGTGGAATCATATAATGAGCCTATGGAAGTCCAGCCCCAAAATAATGCTGAAGCCCAACCTTCTGAGATGCCTGTTCCGTCTGAGAGGGAATCCCACAATGAAACTATGGAAGTCCAACCCCAAAAAACTGCTGAAGCCCAACCTTCTGAGATGTCTGTTCTGTCTGAGAGGGAATCCCACAACGTAACTATGGAAGTCCAACCCCAAAAAACTGCTGAAGCCCAACCTTCTGAGATGCCTGTTCCGTCTGAGAGGGAATCCCACAACGTAACTATGGAAGTCCAACCCCAAAAAACTGCTGAAGCCCAACCTTCTGAGATACCTCTTCCGCTGGAGAGTTATCAGTCTGGAGTTGACTTTGGATCTCATGATATTGACGCTCATGGGCGTGCAGATATTATATCAGACATGAAGGAGCTTAGCGGTTCTCAAAATGCTGAAATGGACAATGCTGGGGTGATTTTCGAGATTTCTGAAGCAGAGAATTACTCTGTTGGGCCTACAAATATTATATCAGATGTAAATGAGCTTGGTAGTTCTCAAAATGCTGAAATGAACAATGCTGGACGAAATTTCGAGACTTCTGAAGCAGAAAATTACTCTATTGTGCATTCAAATATTATATCAGACGTAAATGAGCTTGGTAGTTCTCAAAATGCTGAAATGAACAATGCTGGTGGAAATTTTGAGACTTTTGAAGCAGAGAATTACTCTGTTGTCCCTGGGCATGATGAAACTTTATCCCTAACTGAAGTTTTTGAAAATGAGCTATGTATGCCAAAAGATTTTGATGCATCGCAGCCTCTCATGGATAAAACCGATGATCTTGCTGGTTCTATCCATACAAATGTGCTGGACATTCCAACTTCCGAGAAAATGAATACATCTACTCTAGAAAATGAGTTTGTGGATGATCAACATGATAGAAACAATGCAGATGCTATTGAAATTGTAGAGCATGCCATGGAAATTGGAACACGAGTTGAAACAGATGGCTTGGAAGCTGATAATTTATATGCATCCTTGGCTCTTGGCTCTAAGGAAGCTAGTGAATATACTGACAACCAGGTTTCCTTCCATGGAGACCTTCAAATGGAGGAAAATGGGAACAGCATGCTAGAAGGCTTAAATGAGGATCAAGTTGTTTCTTCTGGCTTGGGATGTGATGACAAGGATGCAAAGGCTGGCGCCTTATTTAGTGAGAATATTGAAGTAGATTGTTTACATTCTGTAGCACCTGAGGATGTAAAAGAAGGTTCTAATGATGAGGAAAACCCAGTCTTTCAAGAAGCTGAATTACAAAATACAATGACTCCTGATGTCTCAGCTATTAGGAGTCCTTTTGTGGATCAGAATGATGTAAGTTCTAAAATTAGCCTTAAAATGCTAAATGATTATTTAGTATCATTCATTTTTTAGATTCATCTCTATTCTGTTGAGATACATTTAACATATCTGATATACCCTATGAAGCTCCGACACGCCATGCACACGGTGTGTCGCCGTATCGGACACGTGTCCGACACCGATACGCGTAAGATACATGTACAACACGTATTTGACACATTTTTGAAGTGTCCAACGGAAGAAAAATTTAAATCGCAGCAGACACGATACGACATCTTATTTCAAATAAAGGACACTGTCCAACTCAAAAAATTTCATAATTCTTTTTTTTTTTAAATTCAACTTAATAATTTTCAGAATTTTTTTTTAAAAAGTTGCGCTTAAAGCTACTTGCACAACCTGGTTCGTCATCGTATTGTGAAAGAAATTGGAGCACATATTCATTCATCTATTATTTGAAGAAAAACAAGATGGCACCACATCGAGCGAAAATTTAAGTATATGTGCATAGTAAGTAACCTTCGACATCTATCAAGGAGCACTCCCCAATATAATCAAGAGAAAATTTAAATGTGGAATGTCGCTTGAGATGAGTTTGGATTATTAGATGACAGTGGATTTTTTGAAGTTGCTGACTTGTCTTTAGATGAGTCCGGCTTAAAAGCTATTTTTTTCTATAATGTGGAGTGACTATGATATGATTTTTATCATTTTGTTTTGGTGAATTTATGTTTTTTTGGTTGATTGAAAGTAATATGTTTAAACTAAACATTTGTGTAAAAAAAAGTTTAAATTAACGTAAATTTTGCTTCTCATTTTAAACTATTTATAAATTGTGCTCATAAATTGGATTATTATATTAATATATAAAATATATATAGCCGTGTCCGTGTCCTATGTTTTTTACATTAGTAGGGTCCTCGTGTCTCGTGTCCAGGCTTCATAGGATATACCTAATAAAATAGTAAAAGTTTCGTTTGTTCATATATATATATATATATATATATATATATATATATATATATATATATATATATATATATATATATATATATATATATATATATATATATATATATATATATATATATATATATATATATATATATATTATTTTATATATGCCTAATTATGTTTGCTTGATTACATGGTGCAGGAAGACGATATGGTTGACAATGATACAGGTTTTCTTCTTAATTTGTTTCAATGTTCATTTATACAAATGCTTAATTTGTCAATATATTTACGACTTTATGGAATGGATCTATTGGTAGTTTTCTGGTTTGATTTGATAAGTGGTATGTTGGGATCCTAACCTAGATTCATTATTATGGGATTTGTTCAATTGAACCATACTAGACGGGAGTGGTTGGTTCCAAGGAACTTCTAACCTAATGTATGCCATGTAAAGACAACAAGAGAAAATAGGAAAATGGAAAGTGATGATCCTTCGTCTACAGTAGGTAGTCATTAATGTTGTCCATATTTCGATCTAGATCTTAAAATCTTACGTTTGCCATCTCACTCACCCCCAACGATCCTGATCTTACATAGAATCACATGCTGTAGCCAAATTGTGAAAAAATTGTAAAACCATTTATTTTGTGCGATCTTGGCCAGTTCCGGCCACGATCGATTGTTTTCCGGCCACACTCGCCGTTTTCCGGCCACCACCATTACAAGCCAAATTGGTTGACAAGATGCCGAGGCACAAGAATTACAGTTCGGCGGATGCCATTTTCCCACAAATACACTTGCCTATCAAAAAATCATGTAAAAAAACTTAAAGTATATAGTATAATATTTTGTTTTAGTAATATCTTATGATTTTTGTTACGATCTTGCTACCCTCTCTCTATCTTACAAAAAGATCTTCCGATCTTAGTTACAATCTTATGTTTAACGATTTTACTGTCCCCTCTCATTCTTATGCAAGATCCTGATCTTGACAACCTTCTCATTAGAGTTTTTTAATATTTTCTAGTCCTTCCGAGTAAAGCTAGAGCTAGAGTGATAGGAAGTAAAATGGCCAATGGATCTTATGCTTCTAGGTCCTTTATGTTTAGAATAAATAGGGGAAGTAATACTGTGTTTATGTTTAGAATAAATAGGGGAGGATAGGGAAGAGTAGTTTACAGTGGAATTTGACAAGAAAAGGGCCAATTTGGCAATAGGGGAGGTATAAACCCTCAATGTTCTGCAACATTATTCTGTATTCAAAAGGGATTTTCTCTATTTCATATTCTATATCAGTTGGTTTCTATCAATCATCAAACTCATTTTCATTTTATTTATCCTTCAATTATCAGGATTTTTGAATGTTGGTGACGATGAGATAATTGATGATGATGATGACGATGCTGATGGTTTTGCACCGGGTGCTGAAGGAACACAGCTAGAAAATAGTGGATGGTCTTCTCGAACCAGGTCAGTTTATGTAAAGCTTGACAACAAATCTGAATCTGTTCCATCTGAATTGTTTATGCTCTTGTAGCTAAATTTCCTGTTGTGAATACCTAACTAATGCATTTATCCACAGGGCTGTTGCTAAGTATCTTCAGACCTTGTTTGATAAGGAGGATCTACATGGAAAGCAGAACCTGCATCTTGACAAAATATTGGCGGGTAAAACACGGAAAGAAGCATCAAGGATGTTTTTTGAAACACTGGTATGCTCTTAAGGATTATTTTGGTTAGCATATGTACTGTTTAATGAACTTTAGCATTGATTTGCCATATTTTCAAAGTTTGGGACATTAATATCTGAAATATCCTTCCCCTCTTTCTCTATTTAATGAATTCTATTGGAAAAAGAGAGAAACTAATAACAATGAACCAAGACACTAATAGTTCAGCAGGGTTACACACACCCTTTGTAAATCAGCAATTGAAATAATATTAAAATAACTGCTGAACTCCAAGAGAGCTAAAAACGCTATCTTTCATGATATTTTGTAAAGATACAACTATATTCTGTATGTGTCATTTATATATACTATGTAGAATTTGTACATTGAGTATGTGCTTTGGAGGGTAGGTGCTTAACATCTGTTTAGTGAGATTTTTCTGCTAAATCTATAACACAGCGTTTTACTTACTATGCTTTGTTTGAATTCTTCAAAGCATTCAGTCTTCTGGGACGCCAGATGCCTACTTGGCAACTTGTGCTTTTATTGAAATCTAATTTCGACCATGATGGCAGGTTCTCAAGACAAGGGATTATATTGATGTAGAACAGACAGAACCCTTTGCCAATATTAACTTACAACCTCGAGGGAAGCTTATGAAGACAGATTTCTGAAACCTCACCTAAGAGTGGCTGATATAGAGGTATAGATCCATGCGGTGATAGCTTGGATTGAATCTGCAGGGTTGGGATAATCTTTTCAACATCACTCCCCTATTTTAGTTATGGCTTTTCATTAAAATATTTTTTTGGGGATAGAATTTAGCCGATTAATTTTACCTCTTGAATGGTTGGGGGGTTGAAGTGTCTCATATATCACTTCATCCTATTGATTATTCTAGGTTTTAATGTATATTTTTGTAAAAATATATCACCATTTGTAGCTTACCAGTGCTAATATGTAATGTGTTTAAAAACACATCCCTCCATGCAAGAATTCAGTTCTATCTAGGCTTCTAGTTTCTTTTACTGAAAGTGCGTTGTATTTTATATACCAGTTGGTGGATACGGATCACCATGTCTTACCTATGTATTTGTATAGTATCTAACTGCTACCGTGTAGTTTGTTATACTCTGTATACTTTATAAAGGCAATTAACTTAGTATTGTGTTGCCCTCAATTGTTTAGGCATTTTGCCATTGTCTGAAATTCCTTCCTTCGAATGTTGGGACATGCAGAAAAGTATGAAATACTTCAAAGTTTGAACATGGTGATTTGATGCGGCCGTACAAATGCAAATTGCAAATTGTATAAGATAACATGATAAATTTGATTGCGAATATACTAATATTGTATGCTCCATCGGACAAGTGATTTTCCGTGTATATTTTACTCGGTTGTCTTCTCGTGGCATTCAATTCTTGTGCCAAAACTAGGGGTGGCAAAATGGATGGATTGGATGGATATGGATTGGATTGCTAATGGATGGATTAAAACAATCTATTAGTCCATTAAAATCCACTAAAATTTTATTAAAATTATCCAATCCGATCCATCCATTAAGAATAAAATCCATCCAATCCATCCATTAACGTATTTTTAATGGATGGATATCCATCCATCCAACTTTTTTTTTAATTTCGTAAAAATAAATATTTTTTTTCCAAAAACAAATCAGTTTTTTATTCTGAAAAAAAAACCCGATTTTTTTCCAAAAAAAAAAGTCGGTTTTTTTTTCGAAAAAAAAATTTATTTTTTTTTGAAAAACAAATCAGTTTTTTATTCTGAAAAAAAAAATTAATTTTTCAGAAAATAAAAATTTGATTTTTTTTCAAAAAAAATGTTGGTTTTTTTTTTTAATTTTTTTTTCTTCGAAAAACAAATCAGTTTTTTATTCTGAAAAAAAACTGATTTTTTTCAGAAAAAAAAATTAATTTTTTTTTCGAGAAAAAATTTTATTTTATTTTTCGAAAAACAAATCAGTTTTTTATTCTGAAAAAAAAAACCGATTTTTTTTTCGAAAAAAAAACTGATTTTTTTTCAAAAAAAATAATTTTTTTTTTCAGAAAAAAAAATAGTTTTTAAATTATTTTTAAGAAAATAAAAATAATCCATTGGATCCTTAAAATATGTTGGATGAATTGAATCAATCCATGCATATAAATGGATGGATTGAATCCATCCATGCATATAAATGGATGGATTGAATCCAATCCATTAACTTATTTTTTGTGTGGTGGATGGATTGGATGGATTTTTTGATGGATGGATTGGATGGATTTTGCCTTAATGGATTTAATTGCCACCTCTAGCCAAAACTCAATTGAAATAATATATCATGTAATGGAACTAAAAAGCTTGTCCATTTGTTGAAATCGAGTGTCAATTTAGTATAAACTGATTCTTCTACAATCAAATAAAAAGCAGGCTTTTTATCATATGTTTCTTATCAACTCTTGAAACACTTCTAAAATATAGAGAGAATTTCTTAATTCGTCCTTGATAGTCTTAGATACTTAGCGCATTTTTTTATGCCTCCTGCTTTCGAAGATACATATTCTAACACATTCTTTTTATTTTGTCAAAATTTGATTATTTTTAAAGTTACATCTGCGCAAATAATTTTAAACTAGACACTGAGAAAAACTTCAAAATAATTCACTTCAGAAAAATTTCTGTAGACGTACCTCTGAAATGTCTAAGCGCTAGATTGTTATGTAAATACAGCTCCAGAAGTTTCTGCTATATTTGAATTGAAACTTGCACGACCACTATCCCCATTGTTGTATTTTCTTCTTCCATCCTCACCTTCACCAACTTAAAAAATTCTACATTATTAATATCATTTTTCACTCCAAATTTCAACTTTTCTGTGCAACAAATCAAATAGAGTAAGAGAAGATCGAATTTCAAGTAAAGATTGCACTTTGTCCACTACATTGCTCACATTACTCATCATTTTTTTTTAAAAAAGTAATGTTGCTTCCGGAGTTGTACCTCCGGAACGTGTTGAAGATGAACACTTTCGGCTGTACATCTCATGTCCATGACATGTTTTTTTAGAGCAGATTTGTAATTTTTGTTTATTTTTCTTATTGTTTACAAATAGATATATTGCACCCAGATAATATCTCAAAAGAATTAGTTTCTACAAACGATGTTTTTTCGAATGCTCAAGGGGGTTGTCGTAAAGTCGGTAGATGTTGGCGTTGACTTTAATAACAAGCAAGAGTTTGATGATCGTGATAGTATGCTCATATGAATTCGTAGGACTGCAACTAGACTTGATTTTGGTGTGGTTATAGGAAGATTAAATAGTGGTTCGGAAAGAAGAAACACTTTTGTAACTTTGTTGTGCGAAAGAAGCGAGAAATATCAGACTCCTCTACGAAAGTTTAAAAGAGACGACACCGGTAGTAGAAAATGTGAATGTTCTTTTAAGATTCGTGGTTGCATGTTGAGTAACAAAAAGTGAAAATTTAGTGATATTTGTGATTTGTATAACCATGAATTGTGCTTAAAGTTACAAGGACATCCTAGTGTATGTCAACTCAAGTCGGAAGAGAAGACATGTATTAGTGATATGATTTTGAATCATGTCTAACCGAAAAATATACTTGCCACATTAAAACGGAAGGAATCCAACAATATATCAAATATAAGGCAAGTGTATAACATTTGGTACCGCACCAACAAGGCGATTAGGGGAGATAAAAGTGAGATGCAACAACTGTTGAAATTGTTGGATGATAACAGTTATGTGTTCCGGTACAAAACATGCGACGATGGAGTAACGGTCCGAGATATTTTTTGGACTCATTCGGATTCGATAAAGTTGTTCAACACGTTCTCGACAATACTCATTTTTTATTCTACCTATAAGACTAACAAGTACAAACCTCTTTTATTTGAGATGGTTGATGTGACGTCTACTGAGAAGACATATGTAGTTGGTTTTGCTTTTCTGGAGTGTGAAAAATAGGACAATTTTACACGGGCATTAGAGGTGTGCCGGTCACTTTCGAAGGACCAAGTTGAGATGCATAAATCAATTGTTATTGACCGCGATACCGCATTGATGAATGCAGTTGCAAAGGTATTTCTTTCTTCTAATGCATTACTTTGTCAAAATCACATTACAAAGAATGTGAGAAGTCGGGTTAAATCCGCGGTGAGGGCGAAGCAAGTAGAGTTTGAAGGTGAAAAATTGGTGAAGGCCGTTGTGATTGTTAAAAAATAATGGATGCATGGAATCATATACTAAATTCATCCACAAAAGAATTATATGTCGATTCTGTCATTCAATTCCAGAATGTGTGAAAAGTATCTTGCTTTATTGAAATGCGTTGAAAGCACCATTATTGATCAGGTGAAGGAGAAAATAGTTTATGCATGGATTGATTATGTCTAACACCTTGGAAATATAACCACCAACAGAGTTGAGTCGGCCCATACTAGTTTGAAATTTTGGTTGGGTAATAGTAAAGGGGGTTTGTGTCGAGATTAGGACTTCGAAAATCTCATGATTAAAAATCAACATAATGAGATACAAATAACATTTGGTCGTAGTATAACGGTATTGGAACATCGATTTAAAGACAACATTCTTTATTCTTAATATCATAGGCAATATGTCTTGGCCGGGATTGAACTATATTTTTCACAAGGCCAAACGAGCTGAAACTGTAGGTTCCGATAACACAAAGTGTGGTTGCACTATTGTGAAAACCTATGGTCTTCTGTGAGTTTGCGTTATTGTTAAAAAGTTGAAACTAGGTGAGCCAATAAGAATGGAAGAAGTTTGTCCTCATTGAAAAAGACTTTGTTTTGATGATGATGGTTGCATGGAAGGAGGTAAACCGAATATCTCTATTTTGAACGAATGGGAAGCGATACAAGAGAGGTTCTCAAAGGCCGATGAAAATATGAAACTCCACATCAAAGAACAATTGAGAAAGATTGCCTATCCCGAAACAACTAACATGAAACCACTTTCTCAATCGGTAATGACAAAAGGTGCTCTGAAGAAAATGAAGCCTACACCGAATGAGAATTCGACTACACGGTTTCTTTCTTATTTTTTGAGCACGTTGACAAACTTTATCCCGGCTCACCGACTCCTAAATCTCAAAAAAGTGTCATGAAAGGGGCCCGCATAAGCAAACCGCCTCCGACTCTGATTCCACCGAAAATTCCATTCATCGACGAGATGCTAGTTTTTATGCAAAAATACATCGACCGTATCGTCAATATTGAAGGGGATGGTAATTGCGGTTACCGAGCCGTTTCGAATTTGCTTGGTAAAGGAGAGGATATTCATGCGTTTGTCCGTCATCAACTAATCCAAGAGTTGAAGACGCATAAAGAATCATATACGCGGTTGTATGGAAAGTAAGAAAAAGTCGATGTGGTTTATAAATCTCTTGTTCCTTGCTTGAATGGTCTGACACCAGTGTCGAAATGGATGACCTTCCATGATACGGTTCATCTTATTGCATGTGCATATGATACGGTGTGCATTGACTTGACGTGATACAGGTTTTCGGAAACCTTTTTTCCACTTTGCACCGCACTACCTCAAAATCCAAATGATCACATCATGTGTATTGGATGACTTGCAAAATCAAGACATTTTGTATAAGTTTACTTGAAACCTGGATGCCCCATACTACCTACATCACCGGAATGGGCGACTCATTCAACCGCAAATGTCGAGACGTAGTCGGATCGTTTTGTTGAAAGATTGCACGAATTTGAAAGATTGAATAACATTGAAAAGGAATCGAATGCGGAAAAGTCCAAAGGGGTACCACCAATAGATTTAGTCGGCAACACTTGTTTTGATTTGTTTTAAATTCAAGGAAAGTTCCGGAGATACACCTCCGGAACCAATAGTTATGGGGTCGTTCCGTGGATATAACTCCGAAAAAATGTTCGACAGAAAATGGTTGGTCCATATTCACCTAGGTTTTCTATATATTTGGGGTTCATTTGCTATCTTTCACAAAAATACAAAAATGTCTCAATTGTATGAAATCAAGATCTGTTGGTATGTTGCAAGTGTCTCCTTTTTCGACAGAAAAGCATCCGGGAGGACGTTCAAACTCATAGATATCACTCCCTCCCGATATCATAGACGAGATCCAATATTGTCTACCTTACAATGACAAACGAAAGGTTGTGAAGCTTGAGTATCGTTCACCTTCAGTTGACAACGAAGGGAACATTGTTTACAACAAATTTGAGCTCAAGAATCAAGACGCTGTTAGGGCAATGTGGCAAACATATTTCGATTTCGAAGAGAAAATTCTGCTAGAGTTGGAGGTGACGGTCTGAAGAACGGTCTTTGACATCTTAGAGATGTGCAACCATCCACCGGACTATTGAAATATAGTATTTAAATTTTTGTCAAAATCATCAATGTAACGTCGATTTTATTTTATGAATGTTGATTTTATCGTTGCAATGTTGATTTTTTGCTATTCTGTTTCTGATTTTTTTTCCGTAAATACGCATGCGAAAATATTTCGTAGATGCATCTATGAAATTAATTTTTAAAAATTAAAAAAAATACGTTTAAAGATACATCTCCAAAATCAGAAAGTATTTTAAACGGAGCACCTGGTACCTAAAAAAATCAAGAGATGAGATAAGAAATTCTTAATATAGAATGCATAATTTATCCTAAACAATTCTATTATTTGTTAGTTTTATAATTTCTAAACATTTAAAGAGAAGAGCCGGTTTCTTTGTCGCCTCAACCAACTCTTTAACAACAGATTTCTTTTTTTTTTTTGCATCAACCCGGTTCTATAACATCCAAATTAATTGCTATCTATTTTTTAGTGAAACTGTTACTGATGACATTTTAGATGATATTAAAATAAATGCAAAACAATTAAAAAATTTATCGAAAAATGTAGTGGTTATAATTAACCGGTAGTAATAGTATCGGGATAAATTCATTACTTGAAGAGAGACATATTCAAATTTAATATTTTTTGTTTCTATTATAAGATTTATTTTAAAACATCTTTTACACTTTAGAAAGATAGATTTAAAAACTCTAGGAAAAAAATGCTTATTCGATTATGTGAAGCTATGGTTTTTGGATTTTCTTCTTCGTGATAAACAAATTTCAATCTTCTACCCCAAAAAAAAGACAGCTTTTAATGAAAAATGTCATCTCTAAAAAAAACGCATATTTCAGACCCAAAAAAAAAATACTTTAATGCATTTTATTAAAAAATTAAAAATGAAAATGCCAACTCAGAAAGTAAAAGAAAAAAGATGTTATAAACTAACCGTTACATGAAACAAGAGTGAGCTGTGTGCATCCCAACGGTCACATTTGACCCAAACATTGAAACGAAATATGACCGTTCGGCTACTCACCTCAAAAAAACCACTATAATACCACACCATCTTCATCTCCAAATTCAAACACACTTCACTTTCTATCTCAATCTCAAATCTTCTTCCTCCATCAAAGTTTCAGTTTCTTCGTTCCAAGCCCAAATGGGTCTCTCAATGAACAATCATCCAGCCACAATAACACCACGACACTACAACATCCACAAGCTATTCCTTTTCTGCAACTACGTCCTATTGGGTGCAGCTTCAAGCTGCATCTTCCTCACACTCTCACTCCGCCTAATCCCTTCTGTCTGTGGCTTCTTCTTGATCCTTCTCCATATCTTCACCATCGCTGGTGCTGTTTCTGGCTGTGCGGCTGTTGGTGCTAACCGTTGGTATTCTGCTCATATGGTGGCGACTGTGTTAACTGCTATTTTTCAGGGTTCGGTTTCGGTTCTTGTTTTTACGAGGACGGGTGATTTTCTTGGTGAGCTCAAGTCTTATGTTAGAGAGGAAGATGGTTCTGTGATTTTGAAGCTGGCTGGTGGACTTGCTATTTTGATCTTTTGCTTGGAGTGGGTTGTTTTGACTCTGGCGTTTTTCTTGAAGTATTATGCTTCTGTTGAAGGGGGGAATAATTCTAGGGCTATTGTTTTGGGAAGTGCTAAGGTTCAACAGGATGAGGATTTGAAGGATTGGCCATGGCCTTTCCAGGTTTAATTTTCAAGAATGGTTTCAAAAAGTGGTTGGGTTGCCAAAGAAGAAACAACACTACTGTGTGATGTTGTTCTATTATGCATCTTTTTTGTGTTACAGAAATTCTCTGTTTAGTAGTATATTTTTTGATTCATTGGGGAATTATATTTTTCCTTTCTTTTCTAGTAGATGTTGCATCTCAAAATCGGTATCTGTTTTGTAATGTAATTACCATATATTGTACTTGGTTTGTTGCTATTGGTAATGGAAATTCAATACTAAATTGCTAATTTTGTTCAGTTTCTTTTCTTTATTATCATTTTACACACAAGTATCTACTAAAAGAAGAAAATAAAAATGTAGACAATGTTTCATGTTCTGTAATTATGATGAATTCTTCTCTACTAGATCTGAACAGGCGCATGCCGCAAAACAGAAGCACAGACTTCATTTCTGTGAATGCAGCAACTTAATATATACTCGGCAGCGAAAGAATTTGAAAAGCGATTGCCTGACGAGGCACACCAAACAAAACGCCGACATCAAACTTGACAGTAAACATATATCTACCAATTAGAATTAGATCAAGAAACACCAACCAGGAGCTGCCGCCAACACCGCAACCAAAAACAGGATGCCACACAGCACAACCAAAACCACGCTGCCAACGATGAAATCCCATCTTTCCAATCACAAAAACTAGAAAGTTCCAATCCACTGATCATAAGCTTTTTTTCGAAATAGTTTTATTTGTAGTCAGTTTCTTTTCTTGCAAAATGAAAGGTCATGGGACATTTCCATTAAAAAAATTATCAAGAGCTCGAAAATAATGGCATAGGGATACCCCAATTCTTATAGAAACACCAGAAACAAAAATATGTAATGATGAAGTTCTAATATAATGGCCAATGGAAGTTCTAATGCTTTCAACAGCAAGCAAACCTTATATTGTTTATCATTCAATCATTTACACTGATAACTTTTAGGATTAATTCGAGGATACAACAGAATGATGAAAACCTTGTAAAACAGAAGTTTGTTCACCATTTTTAATAAATTGTAATAAAATATCTTGTGTCCAAGTTATTAACTATTGATTACTTCATTGTAATAGTCATCATCATACAGCTGCAGCTTTTAGGGAAAGAAAATCTGAAATTTTGTTGGTATAGAAGTCTGGTTGTATGGTGTTGTTTGGACTCTGAAGCATAGCTGTTGTGGTGACTCCTGAGAGGACGAGAAGAGTTTTGCAGCCGCCATTTTGTCCAAATAATATGTCAGTGTCTAATCTGTCCCCAACCATGCATATTTGTGACTTTGAAATGCCAAATCTGTTCAATAAAATTACAACACAGTCAAAGGAAAATTATTCAATAAATAATAATGTTTGAATACAATTGAAAACTACTTTACAATCACGCATTTCGTAGTAGATGAGAAAATAGTTTAGTTCTATGTTTTTCCGAGTTTAAGAAGAATTAGTACAGTTCAACTGATGCAGAAAATATGATTAACTATATATGTCACGGTTGGCATCCATTTGCGTCAAATAATGCCATTGATAGTTACCAGTACCATGGATGAAGAATATAAAACAAGGTAATAGAAGTATACTTGTTTGCTAAGTAGTCCATCATGAAAGTAGAGGGTTTTCCAACAACTAGTGGTTCACGTTGAGTGGATCCAACGAGAGCACCAACCATAGAGCCCCCACCTGAAATTTAAACACATATTGTAGCAGATTCAATTACCTACACAAAAGTTTTAAGAATATCATACTGCTCAGTGTAATGATTTGTAATGATTAAACCGGTTTAGTTTTGTAATAGTCTGCTATAAAACCCGCTAACTTGCTTGTCTCTTCATGTAATCAAACTCTAACAGTAGAATGATCATAAGAATTTCGAAAACTCACTTGATTATTATTATGCATATAATGTCATAAAATAGAATCAATGATAGCGAGAAGGAGGGAGTAAGGACAAACCTGCCCATTCTTGAGCATCTGTGAGATGAGTAACAGCATCTCTATTTGTAGCAATAAAAAGACATCCAGGGTTTTCGCGTATACACAGAGTTCCATACCTTATATTTCGAGGGAAAAAATCATATTAATGAGTTTGTCTCTGAATTGAGTGCATCATGCATATCCGCATATGTAATTGTTATGTTTTAGTATTGGTGTTTGAAATCTTACTGGATTTTATAGTAGTTGACGTAGCGATCAAACCCCACAACAACTGCTCCAACCTAAAAAAAAATGACAGACTCTTAAAATAAGAACTAGAAATATTATTAAATGTTGCTAATTATCAAAAAAGGCGAGAAACACATACATCTTCATCGTGCTCCATCAAGAACCCTGGCTTAAGCTCGATCTTTTTCCCACCATCTTCCTGAAAGAATATCATGCACAAAAAAGAGGAAAGAGAATCAAACATGAGAATAATTCCATTGGAATATGTTCAAACTGCAAATCAATGTATCAAAAACTCATTGCAATTTGGCCGTCTTTGCTCAAAAGATTAAGAAATGTTTGAGAGTAGGTTAAAAGGTCAGTTTAAAAATGTGAATTTTTAAGCAGTGGTTACAGCTCTTCACTTTATCATCATCTAATATACACTCAGTCCCTAGAGGAGTCACATACTAAATTTTAACAATCCATATCATTATTGCATATCATGATATAAACTAAAGTGGATCTCTCTGGATAAATCTTCTCTACATTTGATCCTCATCATCATAGGATTATATTTGTTATTAGATTCCTCTTTTCCGTAAAATACACCAACAAAATATTATGTAAATCTTATTGTACACTAGTCCATTAGACTTTAAGTAACCTTGCTTAATCTGAAATTTATCTGCTCATGCATCAGGTTGTGAGATTGTTATATGCCATGCATTATCATTGAAAATTGGAGTATATGCTTATTAGTAAAACTGATTAAATAATTAGGAGATGGTATTGCACATTAACAAGTGATCCAATTTCAAAGCATGCAAACGAACAGGCAGTAAAGCTTTTACATATTCAAGCACAATACTTACCGGCCCACCAACATACTTATATCCAGCAAGCTCAAGCTCTTTCAAGATGCCATCTTCTCCAATGACATAAACCTAAATCGTGCTAATGGATCAGTACTGTACTAAATTCACACAGTGGTTTGAAGAATAGTTTGTACAAGATATTGCATTCAACCATACTATAACAGAAATAAAATGATAGGGTTCAATATTATTTCTCATGCAGTATATGCTTAACATAAACAATGTAAGCATCAAGTTTAGAATCACCGTTATTATAAGAGAATTTACAAATAAATGTTGTTAACTTCATTTATCTCTTGGTTGGCTTTAAAAACATTTAATTACTCAGTGTCAAAACATGTCATATAACTCATGTTGGACCCTATAGTGTTCTAATTTTGCCGAGTTTCTTTGACATGGATCTCTCAAGCGAACTAGTATACTCTACTTGTTCATCTGTGTTGGTTTTGGGGTACGGTCAGTTCACCAGGAAGATTGTCCTCCCAATTACCCTAAATTTTAACCAGCGATTCACCTTAGGTTAAAAGAGCTCCTAACTTGGTGAGTAAATACTAAATATTTATTTCAATCATACTATAAATGAAAAGAGAATATACATTACCTTTTTATCTTTTGGGAAATCAATGGATTTCAAATACGCAGGAACTGCAAAAGACGATGCAAAAATCTCCTCCTAAAGTAACTCAGTCGTTAAATATTTTGAAGTTATGAGGATTGAATAAACAATTTCTGAGCCAACAGAGGAAGGAAATAGTAAAAAAGTGAAGTAACCTCGTTGACATTCAGGCCAAGCGTTTCAAACTTCTTTCCATATTGTTTCCTAGACTTAGTTGAGTTGTTGGTGACAAAAACCAATCTTTTTCCCTAAACAAGTTTTTCAACAGATCCAAATCTCAGTGTTTGAGCTAAGAAAGATAACAATGACAGATAGAATAATAGTAAACATTCACACTTGTAGGTAAAGGTCTAGTTCCTAATCCTATTCATACCTTCGCTCGAAGCATGTCCAGAGTTTCAGGCACTCCTTCTATTAAGCTGTCACCTTTCCATATAACTCCTGCAAATTAAGTTGCAAAGGAGAAGGAAAGGTAGCATTACATCAATATAGAACTATGAAGCACGAACACTTCAAACACCACACCAACACTAACATGGCGACACAAATAATAATTCGAAAAAATAAATAAATTAAGCTTAATCGCCAAACTGAAAACTAGCATAATTAACCGCCAATTTACTAACATTTTGTTATAGTTCTATCAAAAACTAAAATCACCATATTTTTCCCCTTTCCAATTCAAGAACAGATAGCATAACATACCGTCACAGTCAAAAATAAAAGTCTCAACGGAATCAATGAGCTCGTCAGCATTCTGAAGCGGTTGAGCCAATGCTTTCGTTGCCATTCTGAATCGATTGCTATTGGAACTAGCAATGTTTCTTTTCCATTTGAGAAACGAGGAATTCGAGAGTAGAGGGTTACGAGGAGAGAAAGATAATCTATAGTTTATGGGAAGTGAATGTGAGCATAATCTTTGAGTGTGAGAAACAGCAACACCTGTAGTAACTGCTATGGTGCTGCTTCTAAGCATCCTTGTTTGTAATTTCACAAGTTTATGTTTATGTTTCTGTTTTTGTTTTATTTTAGGTTGTTTATTTTTGTAATTTCAACCAATTTCATGTAGAAATTGATTGAGTGGACGATATAGTTTGGGTTTTTGGATCATAATCTCTTTACCTAACATTTATTTTCTATGGATGTTATTTTATGTCTTTCTAATAATACTTTACAAATCCATAAAAAAATTATTATTTATAAAAAATATTTTTTAAAATTATATGTAACACAAATATGAGATTTATTATTAATCAATTTTATCATTACATTAATATAAAAAATATGTTATTTTCACTATTTATTTTACTTTTTTTTATAAGCAACTAAAAGTTTGTCATATCGCCATATCGCATTTAACTAAATTGTCTTTTGTAAAAATACAAGAACTTTTTTGTAAAGTTATATGACTAAATCACATACAGTAAAATAAGCTTTTAAGATTTTGTGTATTAAGAAAATATTTCTAAAATAATTTTAGAGGGATGCTAGTTGAATTAGGAATTGTCTAAATGATTTTGGACAAATTTGTATTGTTCAATTGATTGACATTCATACCCAATTGATTAGGTTAGTGCAAAATTTGTTCTTAATCATTTGTGATAGTGTCTTAATGAATGTCAACGTGTTTGATTCTATTCTTTCCTTTTTTATCTTTTCTAATAGATCATTTTTAAGTCATTCAGTCGATTAGAATAAAGTGTCAATCAATTTACTCATTAATTTTGGCTCGACAAAAAAAATTATGCTCACCTCTAACTTATAAATAGAGTCTATTCCTTTCACTTTTTCAGATCCATAAACGTGATCATTGTCTCACTCCTCACTATTTCTTTCTAAAATATTTTCAAATATATCTCACATATTTTTAGTTATAGCGCTTTCAAGATAGTTTTATTATGTAGTGAAAAAGTTTACACAATGTCAATCTGGGGAACAACATAGTACAAAAGACAGCTTCACACAAAGTCATCATCTCTGAGGCATCATACTCCTTCCCCTGATCCTAAAGGAGGAAGGGGTAATCACACTCCTCATGAAGTTTGTCGTCCTATTAGGAGGGAAAGGTATGAAGAATATACTTTTCTCCAACCACGGGAAAAAAAAAACCTTGACCGCTTAAATATTGAAAAACAAAATTCCATAGTCACTAGAAAAGCCTCTGAAGCTTCAGAGTTATAACCAAACTGGAGATCCAAATGAGCACGTCGAACATGTAGACAACTGGTAGATATATTATCACGCCAACATGGGAAGTGTAAAAACTCGACATATCGCGTCATTATAGGAAAATTGCGCCAACATAGAGCCTTTCTTTACTCCTTTTTTACTTAGCTCAATTTTTAAGACTTGTCAATTAAGTCAATCGTGTGGATATTTGCTTGAATTTTCTTGGAAATAAGGCTTGAAATTTATTTTAGTTGTGCACCATCATCATAGGATTAAACCATATCTTGTTTGCTCGCATATTTAACTGTTTTGTCATATTTGATTGACTCAAAGGTTGCATTAGGGTTGTATCAAAATTCTTCTACGAAATTCCTTTAAGTTTTCATCATTATGTTGTCATTGTAAGACCTTGGTTTTTTTTGTTTATTTTATTTTATTTGAGTTTAAAATTATTTATATTATTTTATTTAAGTGTCTATTTAATTTTTTGGTATTATTGAGGATGGTATAGTTTTTTCAAAATTATCATTAATTTTAATTATTTAAATGATATAAATAATGAGAAATTGAGCTCTGGGGAGGAAATTAGAATTTAAATTAAAATTAAGAAAAATGGTGGAATTAGTGAGAATCGATAAGGGTTATTGAATTATGAAAAATAGTATGGTTTTATTTAAATTGAGAGGGCAATTAGAGTTAGGTGTTTGGGAGAATGAGTTCTTAGCAAAGTTAGAGAGAAACCCTGTGAGAACTTTTGGAGGAAGAAGACAAAATCTCCACAACCAAAGCTTTAAGGTTGTTGCAAATTTAAGGTAAGCGCAGTGAATTGTTCATGATATGGATGTTTAGACATGAAGGATAGAGATGATTCCTTATCCTCTTTCCCTTTTCTTTTTGTTTTTCTTTCATTGATGAAATGTTGAATCTTGAGATGGTTTCGGCAAAATCTCTCTTGATTGTGGTAATATGTTATGAATTTCGTGTTGTATTGGTGATTGATTTTTGAATAAAATTATATGTGTAATTATAGTTTTGACATTCATGTTAATATGCTTTAAATTGATGAACATGTTAATGATTTTGAGGTAAATCAATGATATAAATGATTAATCTGTGTGAAATTGATGTGCTTAATGTTATATAAGTGATGTATGATGATTTGTTTTGAGTTTTAGGTTTTTTAGAATCGGAATCGGAGCTTCAAAAGTGCTCTAATGGAGAAAACACAAAAATCTATATTTTACACAACACTAACGGGCGTCTCCTTCGTGATGGGTCAACCGTCACTATGTTGGCCAAGCTGATGGGTGTCAGTAAGGCGAAGAGCCCACTGTCATGGACTCAGGGACGAGCTTTTGCCCAGGCATCAGCATGATGACGAGTTTGTGAGAGAGATGGGTGACAAGATGGCGTGACGTCCATCATGCTTGGAGGGTTGACTGTCATCCCTTGTTTGATCGATTTTTGGTCATTCAGCTTGATTTTTTGAGTGGATTCTATTCTCAATATTTATTTGATGTTGTTGATGAGTATTATCGAGGAATTGTATAATTGAATTATTATGTCGAGTTATGATAAAAGTGTTGAGTTATGTTGAGATTTTTGGTTCAAAGAAGAACCATTGTTGTGGCATTATATTAGTGATATTCATGTTGAGTGTTAGGTTCAGAGAGGAACCAATAACGAGTATTAAAGTTTGAAGTTTGAGACGAGTATTGCATTTGTTTGTTGTATTTATGCATCATGTATATCGTAGATAAGTAAGACTTCGGTCCAATGACAAGTCTCAGGTTCAGAGAGGAACTATGGATGAGTTTAATGGTTCAAAGAGGAACCAATGACAAATGGATTAATTAGTAATATACTTATGATATCCAATACCTTGGTACCACATGCATTAGATGAGGGGAGTACATTGCATACAAAACTGCATTTGTGATTGATTGTTGTTGTAGGTGATTTATGTGATTGATGATTGATATAATTGCACTATCCTTGTTGTTTTATACACCACTAACATATATGAATGTATTTGTGAAATTCTGGTATGCAGATCTCAGATGTCATAACAGATTATAATAACATTGATCTCTGCTAAAACAGAACAAGGACAAAACATGACCATTTTAAATTCCTTTAAAAATTAACAATGTCATGACATCAGTTGTAACATCAGCAAACTGACATAACTATTTATCTAACCATTTAAATTGTGCAGAATTGTAAATGCTGAAAGATAAATAACACAATGAATTGTTAACCCAGTTCGGTGCAACATCACCTACATCTGGGGGCTACCAAGCCAGGAAGGAAATTCATTATTAGCAGAATTAATTCAGAGCTAAACTCCCAGTTTACAACTCCTCACTTAATCTCTACACAATGCAATTTCTGCCTAGAACCCACTAGACAAGAGACACCTCTCACTCCCCACAATCACAACAGTGATAAACAATTCAATACAAGAAGGAAGACTATAGAAGACGCTCTTCAAAGTCACAACACTTGATTTTGCTTAACAGCTTCAATCAAGAACAATACACTCTTGCTTAAAAGCTTTGAGTGAACAATTAACATTGTACAAATAACAGCCTAAATATGTCTACCACGATGCATCCAAAGATACAAAGGGTGACTTACAAAGTCACACACACAAGAGACTCTCAAAATCCTAAAACACAAAACCAAACGTGAATATTAAGTTACACCAACAAAATTCTTCACCACACAATCTCTCAGTCTTTGTGTGCAATCAGGATTTCCACTTCTGTATTTATAAGCAGCGAAAGTTCCTCGGGCCTCAGTGCAACAATTAGGTTTAACCAAGTTAAACCTCTTTTCATAAATCATGGTTCTTTTAATTAGGTCATAGAGAATTCCTGTTATGCTCAGCACTGCCTATCATTTCGCCCGAGATAACTAGGATCCCTAAAAAATTTCCTGAAGTATAGCCTGAGCTTCCTCATGCAATACTAGAAACTAAAACACGCGCTCTTGATGTCAGCTACCTGATGTCATAACATTCAGCATGACATCCAATACACTATGTTCTAGTTAACCAAAACTCACCATGCAGTACACTCCTGCAGAATCTTCTTCATAACAGTAGAAACAAATATATTATAGTTTCCTAAAAATTCTCAAAGATCCTTTTTATGAACACCAATTAAATATGCACTTTGTTCCTAATAAGTCTCTTTGACCTGCACATACTGATGAGGTATATCCAACGGGATCTCATCAAACCAAAACACCTCTGTCACGAGATATAAAATAGCAGTTCCTGCTGTACCAAACAAGGATGTCATGACATCTGTCTTGACATCTTGATTAAAACCCATGACAACAGTTCTGTCACCACAGCAGATGGATGTCACGAAATCTGTTTTGACATCTTGATTAAAACACATGACAACAGTTATGTCGCCACAACAGATGGAGATGTTATAACATCTTGCTTAACATCAATGCAGAATCATGTTTTACCAAAATTTAGCCAATCATAGAATCATGGAACTAACAATCTCCCCCTTTGGCAAATTTTGGCTAAAACAACCAAACAAACTTATCAAGGCAGCAACTGCAGTAGTTTTCTTCAAATACATCCAGCCTCACCAGCTATCATACTCCCCCTTAATAGTTGCATTCAACAAGCAACTACAAAATACTACTCTTTCCTTAGCAGTGGCAACAGATAACAACACTTTACTCCCCCTTGGTTTAGTCAAAAATTGACAAAATTTGGAGTAAATGTACATCCATATAAACTGAATGACATCTCACAACCTCCCAGGATATAAACACAAA